GGTCTCTACATATGGAATGATATGAACGAGCGTCGTCTCAACGGCCCGAGATGACTATGCCTCGTGATGTGTCCATCACTCGGGTGTTGAACACCGAGACTTACACAACTTGTACGGTATGTACGTCCATCGTGCATCTTATGAGGGAATGTTGGGCCGATCCAAAGGTAAGCGTCGACCATTCGTCCTTTCACGAAGCTTCTTTACTGGGTCGCATCGGTATGGTCCGATCTGGACTGGAGACAACATGGCTGACTTTGTTCATTTGGGTCATAGTGTGCCCATGCTTCTATCGATGGCGGTCAACGGCATGTCGTTCGTGGGTGCCGATGTGCCAGGCTTCTTCGGTAATCCCACTAATGAGCTCTTCATCCGATGGCATCAGCTGGGGGCTCTGGCATATCCATTTTATCGGGCCCATGCTCACCTGAACACCCTTAGAAGGGAGCCATGGATGCTCGGACCAGAAGCACTAGAACATGTGAGAGGAGCAGTGAGTGTGAGGTATACCCTGATGCCGATGTGGTACACCCTGTTCATGGAATACTCATTGGGTGGAAGACCTGTAATACGCCCTCTATGGTTCGATAATCACGACGATATCAATACATTCGCGGAAGCGACTCAGAATACTCATATCATGGTAAGTGTTATCGCAGCGGCTGATTCTATTGGTAAAGTGATGTAATCAGGTTGGCGACGATATATTGGTCAAGGCAGTGTCGCATTCAGTTGATAAGAGTGTGAACGATCATGTGTATCTACCACAATCTAGACACGCTCATGATGGATGGTAGGGTAGTAGTAGTAGTAGGTCTAGCATCATTGTGGTTATGGATATGAATTAGGGTACAGCTACGTTCTTATGCATGCATCGTACTAGGTATGATTTCTACTCCTTTGACTGGAAGAAGGGAGGCTTGGATCACGAGTTGCGACTGCCGGCTCACTCACTACCCATGTACATGCGTGCAGGGAGTATCATCACGCGAAAGATGAGGCGAAGAAGGTCCACACAGGCGATGGAAAACGATCCGTGAGCCCACAGAGTTGTTCGCATTATAGAATATATGAATAGTCAGATACACGATTTATATCAATTGTGCCATAGATGCTGAGGAAGGTGGTATGATGGCCCATGCTTCGGGCAGGCTCTACATCGATGCTGGTGATGGTTATGAGTATTTGGACGGGCAATTCCTCTACATGAAGATGAATTATCGTTATAGAACATTAAAGGTAGAGTGTATTGTCGACCCGATATGATGCGACTTGCTTAGGCCGAACCTTTGAGCATTCCACTCCACCACAAGCTCGATGATAAAGGGCGGCCCACTCGAATCCACGGGAAGTTGTCTGGATGGTCTCAAGGAGGGCTTGGTGTCGAAAGACTTGTTTTTGTTGGCTCAACGGTCGCTCCAGACGTCATAAAGTATGTCGGTAAAAGCCGGGTCGGATGATATGTTCAAGCGGTCCTTTCGCATCGGCTCAACTCCAGGTATATCGATTCGAATGGTGAGCAAGACTTGCTGTTCACCATCACTGATATGGGCTTGTCCCACCCTCCACGGTACAGCTTCACTGCTACTGTACATGCAGTGCAATCGTTTCATAGGTTCCATATTGTGGTTAAACGTCCCCGGATTACACTGGGTGATTACGGTTGGCGTATCGAGTTGAGAGGACTTAATTTTGCTAAGGTTAGTGGTGGATCTTATTGTGTGGAAGACGGCTTTGGACGATAGGTCCAGAAACACCAAGAGATGGCTAGTATGGGCCCATCATATGGTAGTGGCAGCAATATCATTCGTTAATAGGGTTGTAGATGGCATGCAATGGACACAGTGCGATTTCTGTTCGCCGATAGACACTTGCTATTGCGTTGGTAAAGTGTTAATGGGATAACAGGAGTTACAAGGCTTGTAATTCAAGCTTGGGGCCAATCATTTCCTCCCCTGTGTGAGTGCAGCTCGTACCCGGTTTATACCCTGTACTGAAGTTAGTTACTCCAACAATCCTAATCCTGTCGAATGGGTCTACGGTGTTCGACGTGTCCTGAGTACGCTATGGAGCCGGCGTCGAGTGTCAAGCTCTCACAAGTGGACTCCTATTTGAATGATTATCCGGAAATATCGCAGGAGCGGAAGTGCCACATTGCGTCTTACAAGCTGTTCAAGGTAGTATTAGGAAGTGTCATTTTCCAACTGGTCACGTTGAGAACGACACGGGCGATTAATGTACGAGAGTATGGTCGATCAGGTGTTTCTATTCGGATCCCCGATAACGCCAGCTGTGGAGTACATTGGCAAGCTCTTCGTGCCAACGCTTGTACAGTTACAGCAACAACAGCCTGCCTCTGGGGAGCTCAGCAGGATAGCAGACTCGAGTTTGACACCGGCACCCGAGTTATCGCAGACGCTCGGTAGCGACAGCGATCTTACTAAGGTAGTTCCGGGCTTGTATATGGACTGCACGAGTGATGGGAAAAGCTATTATGATCAGAGTAGTCGAGCGTCGACACCTCCTCGTTTACGTGGCGGAGGCGATTCCATAACAACCCACTTCCTCGAGCCCATACGAATGTCACTAGTAATAGCATGGGGAGGCTACAGAGAGTTGTCCATTTATGTTTGGCAAACTGGAATCCAGCATATATATTCAGATTAACCTGCGCGACGAGTACGCAGAACAAGCAGTATTATATCCTAATCTCCTGCCATACTCCAACATCCTAGTGTCGGATGCTAGTGCCGTACTAGTCAGACAGTAGCCAGGAGGCACCACATCGCGGGGTGTAAATCATGAGTGTCAGATACATGCAGCGGACACTCACGGATAGGCTTTATACTCAACCAGCACTGACGGAAATGATGAAGCTGTGGATCTTGTAAGTTAATCACGACAGATGAGACGTGGGCTTGCTTTTCTAGGTGTAGGGACCTCGAGTAGTAGTGTCCTGAGTGTAGTTCTGAATAAAGGGTTGGACTTGCTCAACTCTTGCGTTTTGTTTTAATGACATGGTGAATATGCACAGCCATAGCCTTTGCGAAATAGATACCAACTCGTATGTGCACTGGCCCAGTTGCATGCACTCGGACGAGTCCACGGAGACTTGAAAACTGAGAACGTCTTCATTGTCGGCGGGAGCGAGCAGGTCAGCGGGTCATGATTACTTCCTATCTGCATTCATTGTGAAGGTTATGCTTGGTGACTTGGGCTCGTTTGGAGTGATGAAACCGGCAACCTTACCAGCAGGAGAGGCGGCTAGTGCCGTGTTCTCTTTGTTCTTTGCCACTGCATCTGGTATTGCACCTCCAGGTGGTGACCTACCCGGGATGGATCGAGAGATCTCACACAGAGGGGTAGTGGCACAGTATCCATTCATATTATTCAAGCACGTCTCCCTCCGTAGTCCTATATGGCACGGAATAGATGCTATATCGCTCCAGAAAGGTTCGATACGGATATTCGGAGCAATGGCGGCCTAGGACTTCTAACAAATGATCCAGTACTCATCGATCCAGTCAATTGACCTATGTGTATCGACGCTGTCGAGGTTTTCTCATCGACACAGCAGCAGTATGATTCCTTCAGCCTCGGCTGTTGTATCGCTGAGATCTTCAGCGCTGATCACTCCCATACAATCTTTGACTTACCGGACGCCCTCAGGATGTAATACCAGTGATCATATATATAGTTGTGACCATTCCTCCATCAGGCACTCCTTGGCCCGGAGCAGTGGTAGAAATGATAAGGAGTCCGAGGCGCATGTAGCTCAAGCAACACATCACGTTCGTGTAAGGACTACACTCCGCCCAATCTAAAGACCCAATTTCGTGTGGCATCCCCAACTACTCAACTACTGCTCATATCAACCTGCAAATTTGTATAGAAACTCTTCAAACATGAAACATGAATCATGTTACACAAAATTGGGTCTTTATATTGCGCGTACTTTAGCACCAGGGCTTTATCGCTCTTTTTTATCCAACTTCTCTTCTGCTGCTACCTCCTTACATGATGTCATTTATGTTAGAATCCTCGGATACGTAAATTGATAGCTTCCCTACTATCCCTGGATCCAACATCGAGACCATTGCCATTATCGCTTCTCATGGTGCCTGCGATGCAGTCAGACAGCAAGGAATCTGATAAAACTTCTCTATTCCCGAGAGCGTTCGGAGAAGCCCTCCTGCCATTGAGTGGGCCCCAGTCCCGCGGTGATACACTCGGCACTCTTCGGTGGCTCGTAGGTGTCATTATCCAATCCAATCCGATATATATGGCGGCCGATATGAGGATAGATCTGATAGTCCGCAATTTACCCTATCTTATTATTATGCTCGTAGGTCACCACTGGCTTGACGTCACTAACAATAGTAGCTTTGTCGCTGTTCAGGTATCTAGAGATACCCTACTCGACCACTTGAGGAAGCTACGATATATCGGAGATGGCAGAGAGCCGACGGCCTCTGATTTCATACAAGCCGTCAGAAGGGTGGTGTCTGACGGCTGCTCCAACATTGATGAGAATACTCTCAGTGCAGTGAGTTGTTTGTGAGTTATACTCATTTGGTTATCGGAGCTCTTCATTAGGTCTACGAGAGTTCCCAGAGCCAGCAGTTTGCCTTCTTCCAAAATCAGGAACATATGCAACGCCCGGAGGCACTGAACGGAGATCAGTCGATTGCTATACGTACGAGGCCTCTTCGAGACCCTGCAATGACTGATAACTCAGCTCATTACGATCCGCTTGCATGTGGTATCTCTGGCGACGGGCGTCCATTACCTCATCCCGAGTTACGCCCATCGAGGTGTCGAGCCTTTCATGGCATGCTGTTATCATTGTGGAAGAGAAGTGCGGAGGCTCACTGTCAGGGGGGAAAGGTGCATGTGTTGTGGACTGAGCGTTGAGAGCAGTATTGGGAGTATCAGGTACAGGCGGACTGGGAGAAGCATCTATCACGCAACATGACCGAGCTACTACTACTCTTCTTCCCCGATGGACCGGTTGTTCCTGAGCAGGAGATCGATGAGACCTCAGATGGGGGTGATACCGATCGGGAAGTCCTATTCGTTCTCATCGGTAAGCTTAGTATCATTGCTTATCATGGGCAGCCTATGGAAGGACTCAATCACTTCCAGTGTGTCTCCCCCATTGAGATTCCTGTCAGGGATGGTTACATCGGCCGGGCATGCAGGAAGCCATCCTCGAACCCGGCAAGTATCGTTGATGATTCTCGGTATGTCACTATACACCACAACACACTATACATAGTATCTTACCCTCTGTATCAGAGACCCTAGCTCCTTTCTGCAGCCGTCATACCTTGCTCGAGCTGGTCATCCCTCATTGCCATGCAGCATTGAGTACAGAGCCGACAGCTGAGTGCCGAACTCAGGTAAGCCGTCACTCCGCTGACGGCTATCTGAGCAGCATTCGATCTCGTCTGCTGTAGGCTCTCCGATCACTCGTCGCAGCTTTGGAGTGTATACCCTCAACGGCTGATACGGAAGAATCGCTGTATGCGTCAGGCCAATTCGGTGGGGTCACTGACACAGGTAAGTCACAATTAGGGCCACCGGCACATTCATGTTGCCGCACAGGTGCGGTGTACAGCCTTTTCGTTGACTACCTTTGGCCGGTCTTGCTATCCCTTATCGCTACGAGATCGGATGCCAATCTCCTGTCGTACTCTGCACATGCTGCTGTGAGGTTGGCCGCCCTCTCTGTTACTATTGGGGAGATGTCAGCTCCAGTAAGCGATAGAGAATAGCAAGTTCTCACTCAGCGAGGTGGTCGTCGTCGTCAGTCTGGTAATCCATCCACTAGTCTTGAAGCGATCAAGGCTGCGATGTATAACTTCGTTGCTACCTATCTACAACAAGTGTTCCAACGAGCTCCACCTGGCAATAACTTCTCAATGATGACTCCGAACGGTAGTAGGTCTTCGCACCATGCAGAGGAGTCATCGGTTCTCAGGTCGGGCGGTATCCTCGACAACAACCCACAGCCCCGATCCTTCCCAATTGCCACCTAGAGCAGCCGAAGCCGTGAAACTAGCGGTCCTTGAAGTGAGCGGGCTTGGTGTTGTTGAGTTGTCACTCATTCCCCAGGCGCTGCCGGATTTCGCATCGCTGCTGCCACCGTGTTCGAAGGAGCCCGATTCAAGCCAAAACCAGAATCTCAAAGGATCGCATGGTAAAAGTAGTCGACGAGACCGAGTGGTGCATGCAAGTTGTTGTCTCAGATGTATCTGTATCCTCCCTTACCGTGCCGCCCCTCACAGTCCAGAACCCTTCTTCGGGCCCTCGTCCTTCTGATCACAAAGACGAAGAAACCAAGAAAGGGTCTCCTGACAGGGGTCTGACTTTGCCTTACCTTATGTGCTTTCTGAACGACCCCAACCCTCAAGTTAAAGTTGCTTTTTGCCGCTTGGCGCCTAGGTGTGCCAATCTATTAGGGGCTTTTGCCGCTGACGTGGCCCTTCTTCCGTAAGTACTCTAACGACTCTACTCTACGCTGTATTCCCCATTATGCATATTTTGCCATATTCACATGAAGGGCATGATCCCTGTCATCTAACTCATAGGCTTTAGACGGCCTGCCACCGTTGGTGACCTGGTCAATCAGATTTTCATGAGGAACAGCTATTTCTTATACAGTATAAGTTATACTAGCTCGTGGTGGCGGTCGAGCAGTTGTAATGTGGGTGTTTATACAGGTACTTCACCCAAACATTGTCGAAGGAACTTGGTGATGACCGGCTCACCCTAGCAGCTCTGATGGGTGCAACCGAGCTGCTAGGGGACTACAGGGTTTTACCTGATGAGGGTGGGTTATACGGGGGAACCCTGGAATGGTGATGTATAATTATCATGTTAGGGCCCAACTCAGTTCACCGGGAGTCGGTTATGAGATTTGCCGAATCCGCTGTTCCCTATCTTTGTCATCCTAATGTATGTATACAAGCCACTGCCAGGGCCTTGATTCGCAGCATTACTACGAAACACATCGGGAACGCTCTTCAGTAAGGTATCCTTAAGAATGATGAACTTTGACGCCTCATGTTCCAATGAATCTGTTCCACCTCGGCATAAGACCGTGCACGGCTCTCATGTAGGTACGTCTATCTTAGACGGCGCTCATTCAGTCATCTCAAGGAGGCCGAATATTTGCCCAATGGATGGAGATGCTTTGGAGATCTCGAATATCTCTGTCCCGTTTCATACGAACTGGTACTTGGTCAGCAAACTATCGGGGAAACCCTTGGGGACACTACCGATGTCGCCAGAATAGGCTTGGCCAAGAAATTCTACGAAGGCACAGTGTCTCATGGACAACCTATGGGAGAGCCGATGGCTGTTAGCACCGCTGGTCCCATGCAGATCATTAAAGTGTCTATCTCTAATCCCAATGTACCAGCTATCCTCCCTTATCGCTTTATTGCGGAGGGTGATGTCACTCTGGGTTTCGAGGGTTCTGTGAATAAGCTCCTGAAAGACTGGAGAGCACGGCATCTACTGTTACCTCCTCCGAAGCCAGCACTCGGGATACTCAACCGTTTAGATGGATCCCAAGAAACACTGTATGTAAGCAAGAAGAAACTCCAGATAGTTAATGAAATACGAGGTGTTCTTGGGAACGACGGGGAGAGCTACGGCATGTATGGTCATAGGAGAGTACGGGCTCAGGTGAGGCATCTTAAGGATGTGCATATTCATAATACGTTGGGGTCAGAGACTCCATTTGCAATGCCGTGCTGGAGTTGACCCACCAAGTGTCGAAGGGATGACATTAGTAACTAGCCCCACTATGGAGGCTGGATCGTCCCCGATCGCTATGGACCATAATAGTGAGCTATTCTTCTCTATTTTTCGCCAGTCTACGGTGTTCATCAGGCACGAGTAACATCAGCGAATCGTCGATCTCAGTCGGATCTCTTCAATCGGAATCAGCCCCTCTTGGCAATGTTGAAATAGATCATGCTGCCTCAAACGACTCTTCTGGGTGAGTCTGTCTGTCGACCTGCCGACTATCAACAAGTTCAGTAGTTTGCACATCTGACAGGCAAACTTGGGTAGTAGTACCTTGTGAGGCAGGTACTCCTTGGCGACTCCCTCAGCTTGGCGGCCTGGAGGCTCTCTTGTCGGCACAATCTATGATTTCGAATACGACTTTGGTGGCGGTGGATCGTCACAGAGCGTGAATAGTATGAGTTCTGGACACCCAGTGGATGGGAGAGGGGCCTCTCATACGACTCCGGTGGGTTTCAAAGCCAATTCTATTGGAATCTGCTATTCGTATTTTACTCGTTATTGAAGCCCATCGGATCGTGTATGACATGTCGCTCCTATAGAACTAGGCCATTCAGGTTGTTGCGGTAGATGCCAGCGATGATGGTCGCTTAATCATAGCGATGGGAGGCAATGGCGTGGTAGGGTTTCTCTTTTCCGGAAGCTCGAATGTCTTCACTCAGCTCCGTGCCTGGCGGGGACACATCCTCGAGGATGATGTCGCACCGACTTGCAGTAAAATGATGCCCCTCCCCGATGAGGAGTTGGACCTTGCTGCTATAACACATTATCACTTCCCGATGAAGGCTTTGCGGAACTGTAAATCAGTAGTCGTTGGCGGTGCTTCACCTTCCCTCTATGTATATCGGATGGACGCGCCAGGTAAGGTTGTCCAATAGAGCACCACTAGTAGGCTGCTAAGGGTAGCCTTACTTGCCTCATGGTGGCATTTAACATGTTTCCAGGTGACGTACCCGTGGTATCATTGAGGGCTCCTACTTGTGGGAAATCAGCTGTCGTATTTGACGCTGGTATTGCAGCTATTGAAAGCTTCGATACTGATATTGAGAACGTTGTGATCGCTGCTAACCATCACGGCAGTGTGTTTGGCTTTGATGTTAGGGCTGGTCGCTGTGTCTTCAATGTGGCTGAGCCCGAGAGCTCTCTAGGCGTACCAACTGATATGTTATGCTCCTCTGATGGGAGGACTACAGTGCTCTGTACACGTTCGGGCTTCGTTAGCCTCTTTGACGTTCGCTACTTGTCTCGACGAACTCGGACATACAAGTTGTTCCAGGAGGGCGCCGGTACGGGAATACTCCCCATCACGGCAATGTGCAACTCTCTGCATGGGGGCAACAAGTCTTTCTGGCTTGCCGAAGGAACACATGGTATGATGGGACTATATGACTTTACTTCGCTCGATGGTGATGTTCGGCCGACTAAGTTGATGCTTTGTGGTGAACAGTCGAATCCGATCAATTTACCGGTTCTCGTCGATATGAGGTCACAACCAAGGCAAAGCTTCTTAGTCGGAGCCGATATGTTAACACAACAAGTGAAGGAGTGTGCGGATCCTAGTAGCTTGGTAGTGAGATCAATGCTGGAGATCTCTACATCTCGAGGAGGTCCTTGGACCTTGCTTAGCACAGGCAATGATGCTGTAGTGCGATGGTGGCAGCCTCAAGAGGCGGGAACTGTCATACCATTCTCCAATCAGTCCTCAATTATGCCACTGCAATTGGGAGGGGTTCAAGTCATGACCAACCCATCGTATGCAGCTTCTAGCGGTCATCATCAATCCTCTATGACACCTCGTGGACAGGGAACTCCTGTAGAGGAGCAAGGCGACTCGGATCTCAGAGTGGATGATGGACACAGAGACGCTATACTGGACATGTGTGTCCTCTCTTTGCAATACGATATACTTGTTACTGCTGGCCGTGATGGTTTGATTAAAATTTGGCGATAGTTATCCGGAACTTTTTATTTTGTGACCTTTTGTTAGTTTTGTTGGTGTCAGTAGTTAGTAAGGATCTGCAAATTACGGAGGGTATTTCTATCGCGCCTCGCCCTTAGATCGCATTCTAGCTACATGCTAAATATCCCACTCCTGAGCCTGTGGGTCTGGTGGGCAGGAAAGAAGAAGGTGTCTGTGGCTTAGACCCTCGAAGCATCGAGTCAGTCCGATGAGCGCCTCTACTGTCGCCGCGCGGGCTGCGCTACGGCGGGCGCGTGCAGGTCATGCGACGCCGCGCACGGTCGACCAACCACGATGATAGGCACGTGTGTCACGGAGACGCACTGTATGACGCGCTCTTCGTGTCGGTGTTTAACTTGTGTTAACTAGCTAACCCTTATATCATCTAGTGCTACCTCAACCGATCGCCAGTTAACCAATGTCACGGGACCAGAGATACGTTATGAAAATGCTTTAGAAATTCGAGAGTCTGTGACCGTTGTACAATCATCTATCGGTGTTCTTGCGAAGTTGCTCAAAGAAACCACCTATGATGACTAGATGCCCAGATGAATGATTGTTGCGAGTCGTTCGAGATGCGCGGTTGTTGAATAGCTTAGGGCTGACGCTAGGTCCACAGCACGTGAATGCTAACTTGCTACGTGGAATTGACACTACATCACTGCTTCGCTGTCTGAGGCCAATCATCTAGGCACCTGGGGACATTTAATGGCGCGCGCCAAGTTGATACGCATTTGTGTTAAAACGCTGCAGCAAATCACTACTCGGACTTTCTGCCCCGTGTATAATCGTCCAGTAATTTTTCATGTGGCTAGTCAGACTAACCTGGTCTGTATGGGAGTGGTAATTGACTATTTTGTGAAGCTCCTCCTCCACATGCCTAGCTGTCCAAATATTCCGGATTGAAGTGAATTACTTCTAGTTAATGATTCGTAGTAGGGAATTCAGTGCATCGTACTGCAGATAGTTCTTATTTGACCTCAATTGTCATGCTTTCTTGCGACTATACCTACCTTGTGGTGGTCACCATACTGACTCTAGTCGTGGCAGTGTTGGGGAATATCCTATTCCATTGGGCTATGCGCTTCAGAACAGGTGATACTAGATCCCAAGTGTCGAGTGTCGCAGACGGGTTATGCACGCACAGAGCTGAACATTATCGTAGTTTGATCAGGTTCAGGCCCGCGGCCGATGACTTGGATGGAGGAACACATGTTGCTGAGTGACTGTTTCCCCAAGGAGTGTAACCTACCCTCTACCTGCAATGTTATTAATTGTGCAATGCTGTTCAAAGACTCGATGCCTAGTAGAAAGCAGGTCGAAGAAGTTGTCAAGGAGAAGGTGGGATAATTGATAGTGTTAGTTTATATACCACTCGTCGTTCCATTTAGTTACTATTCTTCGTCCGTTTTTCAAGCATCCCTGACGTGGAGACCCATGGATGGAAGGTCGTAGATAATATTGATCTGTCGGAGCATATCCTCGCAAGCGATGTAATCGAAGACCGCAAAGCATTGGATGATAAGATTCAGGAGGTATTATTGTCTATTCGTTGAACTCGCGTCCTCCAAGATTGTCTTGCTTTCAGATTATCAACCAGCCATTACCAACTGATAAGCCATTGTGGAGAATTTATATGCTGCCCGCTGCCAAAGGAGCTGTGGATGTGAAGGATTGCATGCTTTTCCGATGCCATCACACCATAGGGGATGGCTTCAGTCTCGTAGGACATTGCTTACATCACTCGTCTTTGCCTCGAAAATGTCTCATATTATAGGTACAAGTGTTGGAGAAGACCGCAACGAATCTTGACGGAAGTCCTATCACTTTCACTAATCCTAAGGATAAGAAACCCAAAAGGATGAATCCGCTGGCTAAGCCCGTATTTGCACTGCTATATGCATTGGAATGGGTACTATCGTTGAGTGAAGTATTCGTTGTAACTTACTTGTGATTTCTCAGTTACGATCAGCCTTGAGCTTTGTTTTGCAAAATGGCAAATGTTATGAGACCGAGTACGGATTCAATTCCTCTCTTGCTCATCGTAAGGGTGATCTCCAGTACAGCGGTCTTCGGAAGTCTATTTGCTTCCAACCATTCTCCCTGGATTATGTCAAGGCTGTGAAGAACAAGTCGCCTAGAAAGGTAAGCCTGTACTGCTGTCATTCCCCGTCGATGTCAGAGTTATCCTCTGCCAGGCTACAGTTAATGATGTGTTGTTGGGTGCGATGGTCGGTGCCATGAGGCGGTATGGAGGCGAAGCTGTGGATAGTAAGACCATCATGAGGATGTTGATACCAATGGGAACCCCACTTCAATTTGGTGCCACCACTCCGCCTCAAGGCGATAGACTGGGCAATAGTTGGTCATTTTGCAGTGTTGATCTAAGCAAGGTAGCCTCTCGATATCATGTCTTCTCATTCTCAATTCTTGTGTTGCCTTAGGCCATCAGATCTAAGGATTCCATCTCGCGGCTTCTAGCTACTGGATCGAGTATGAATCGTATCAAGCGGTCTCTCATATCGCCGGCTTCACTGTTCATCACCAACACAGTGATGCCTCTCGTACCCTCTGCTTTCGCCAAGAAGTCGAGTAGGGATCTCTTCGCTCGGAATTCCGTTGTATTCTCCAATGTCCCTGGAGCCCAACAGCCTTGCTGTTTCGCTGGGAAGGAGATTGAGTTCATCTATCCTATATTCCTCAACATCATAGATCAGGTAATATAGCCATCATAACGAACACTGTGAATGATGTCGATACTCGCTTATTCATAGGTGATCGTATTGTCCTATAATGGAAAGTTGATGTTAAACATGGTTGTTGATCCTAGTATCGTGAAAGATTACGACAAGCTTGAGAGCTACTACCGAAACGAGCTATTGGACATGGGAAAACGTCTCGGTGTACACGACGTGGAGCTCTAGATTCTTCAAGTTCCTCAAGTTGGTGCTGCCTAATTGCTAGCATCACAGATTTGTATGTGTTTACGAATACTGGGGCCGTCAGGGAGATTGCTCATCAATTCGTCCGGATATTGATGTGAATTCCCTTGAACGTGCTCCTTTCTCGTTATATCATATATTCATCTTATGTGTAATACAGTCCAAGACAGTCGATATCTGTATCTAAAATGTTCAGAGCACTTGAAGTCGTTTGCTTATCGCTTAGTGTTTGGTTGATAGTCCTGGGGATTGGGATGCTCTCATAAGCAGAGTATGCAGCGTACTGTCTCGGTTATAGCTTTATGTGGTTGGGAGATTGATGCGATCGTTTCCCCAGTATACCCAAGAGAATCTCGAGGAGAATTCTCATCCACCATCCCCTTCCCAAGTTGTGGACGCGATTCTGCGTATGGCAGCAGGCGAATCTGTTCCAGCTCGGGGTGGAGATATCCTTGGGTATGGCGGCCATAAAGTTCAACATCGCTCCCATGAGCGAGGTTTGAACCAAGATGGTGGGAGCTTGTCGCACCCTGTTTGGGAGCATTACCAGCACTCCCAGCGTCAGGGTCACTCTACCGATTGGGGTGGGGAAAAAGCCCAGCGGAAAGGAAAGGGTCGTGGAAAAGGAAGTACTCGCATGTGAGTTCTTGGTAGAGACTTCACATCAGCGATATCTATCGTGTCAGAGTGGTAATCGACGCTCGTCTGATGGGTCACTCTCTGGGA